AGGCAGTTTAAATGTGATGTAGAGAGAGAAGCTGTTTTATATTTTGTGATTATGGTGGCTCTCAAAGATTCTCATTGACAAGAGTCAATTCAGGAGGGATTGGCTAGAGAGAGAGAGAGCAAAGGCTTGAGGCTTGGACCTGAATTCCCACTCTTAGCCACCACAACTTCCTGCTTTGGAATTTGTGCCTTCCTGAATTCACAGGTGAGGCGCACAGGTGCATACCAACATCTGTGCTACCTCCAAGCAGCTGGAAAAAACCCCAAGGAGGGTGACTTCATCGAATCTGCAGCTGACTGCTGGATGACGAGGCCAAGACTGTCCTATGTCAGCTCAAGGCCTCCCAGGAAAGGTTTTTCAATCCTAGGCAAGAGATGCAGGAACAAAGAACCTTTATTCCTCAACCCACTGCTGGTTCTGGGTGTGACACCTGATCTGATAACTCCAACCTGTCACCATGAAGCAACTGCCCTGAGGGCAAACCTTGTGCTTCCAGGAAAGCCAAACAGAGAGAAAGTCCCAAGGAGCCCCAGTACTATCCATTGCTATCTATCATGAAACCAAGGTATGAATGCACCTGGGACCTGATCTCAAGTTCTTAACTCTTCAGGCCTATTTTGCCGTGGTTTAAACCAGTTTGAGCTGGTCTTTCATAAATGGAAGCATCCTCATGATTTACAGTTTTAGACTAATATCAAAACCACTGAAGTATACCAGATACTAGGCTAGGATCTTTCTAAGACAGGATGTTGAATTAGAAATAGGCTTTTATAGTCCAATACAAAAGAACGTGGGACAGATTCAACCCAGAATACTTTCTATTTCTCCTTACTGTAGTTCAAAACTAGTCTAGTTGAACACTGCAGGAGTGTCTTAGGAGTTTTGGAATAAAGCTCATTCATGCTAGAAGTCTGTGATTGCCATCTGAACCCTGGTACTGCGTTGGACAAGTTGGCTGGCTCACTATATTCTGCTGCCCATGGCCAGGGATGCCAAATACAACTACAGTTCACACTGCATCTGTTACAAGGTTTTCTGGTAGGTATGGGACATGTGCCATTAAACTCTGGTATCCCAGCTCCAGTGAGGCTAATATCACCCTATCTCCCACATATACCTTTTTGTAAATACTGGAGATTATTGAACTCATGACTTTTGCACTGAGCTACATTCCCAGTCCTTATTCTATTTTTTTTTTTTTTTTTTTTTTTTTTGAGACTGGGATCTCATTAAATTGCTAAGTTTCCCGGCTGGGCTTGAACTTGTGATCCTCTTGCCTCAGACTCTCAGACTGCTGGGAGTACAACAGTGTGCCACCATGCCCATTCTGAGCCAGTTTCTTATCGCGCAGTGTGATACAGTCATTCTTACACTGGAAGAAGAAAGTACACATGTTTCCTAAGGTAAGCTGAGCATCTAAGAGCAGTGGTGTCATCACTGAATGGAAATCCTGATGTCAGCAAGTTCTCCCAGGATACCTAAAAGTGCTTCTTCCCTCAGGGGTTTCTCTGGTCTCCCTAGCCTGGATTTGGGTTAAGCACTTAGAATGAATTTACTGATAATGCTAGTTATGATGATAAACAATTCCTTGAAGTCAGGCAGTACTTTCTAGGAAACTAGAAGTAATGTTTGCATTTATCTCATTTATCTTCAGAACATTAAGGCAAGGCAGAGAAAGAGTATTTCTCCTGCTCAGAGCAGAGTTTACTGAAGCTCAGAGACAGGAAGTATGAGGTGCCCCAGCACTTACAGGTAGGGAAAGTGAATTCTGGCTAAAGAGCTGCCCAGCCAGAGCAACTTCAAAGGAACTGCTTTATTATTGTTGTTGTTGTTGCTATTTGTGTGGGTATGTGTACTGGGCACTGGATCCAGGCTCTCTGAACTGAACTACATCCCCAGCCTTTGGGTTTCAATAAGTTGCTAAGTTGCCCAGGCTGAAGCAAATAAAAAAGAGCTCAGGATGTAGTTCACTGCAAAGACCCTAGGTTGGATTCCCAGTAACACACAGACACACAGATAGACAGACAGACAGACACACACAGACACACAGACACACACACACACACACACACACACACACACACACACACAGTAATATTTTCTATTTTTCATGCCACTTTCAACTTTAATTCTTTTCATTGTCCACCACGGCTACAGATATATAGAATAAATGTTAGTAGACCCCTTTTACTGAGATGCCCTCATTGTAGGAATGAAGGAGCAAATCACAAGCCAGAGCAATAGGCATTGCATCTCCAGTGATGAACAGGTGAGAGATTAGGGATTTTTACAAGAACATAATTTCTATAGCTGAGTCAGACAGAGGAGAGCCTGAGGGATGTGGAGACCCTTGTAGGACATCTTCTCAGGAGCCCAGAAATCCAGGAAGGGAAGCACACTATCACAGACCAGGAAGGGGAAGAGCCCTGATGGGAACCCACTGAGTGTGTGTGTGTGTGTGTGTGTGTGTGTGTGTGTGTGTGTGTGTTGGGGGGAAGAGCTAGACATGCATTCATTGCAATATCATATCCCACTGCTGAATCAGGAGCTATGTGTGGCTTTGGCCTACAGGATCACATTCCTGGGGAGCTTCATGCTCACACAAAGTGGGTGCACACATAACTGCAGTACACCAGAGCCATACCATCAGCCATGAGCCTCCTCCCTCCATTCACAGCCCCATGCCCATCCCCCATCTCAGTGCACCCCATTTATTCCTGAAACATTTCTTTGCTAGGGCATTTCTGTTATTCCATAGTATATACCAGTTCCATCCTCCATACACACAGCAATACACTGCCCACTCCGGCCTGACTTGGTCACTCTAGGACTGCACATCACATCCACTCTCCAGATCATCTCTGACAAATGTCATCCAACAGGAGGACCCTAAAGAACATCTTACCTGAGACACCCCTTTTGCAGACAAGGAAACTGAGGCCTTGCTAGGGATATAACTTGTCCAAAGCATATAAATAACCAGTGATAGGAACAGAACTTTGCCTGGTTTCCTGAAATTCCACATCTGAAGGCACAAAAAATGAGTCTGACTAAGGTCTGGGTCCCATTGATCCTTATTCTACCTTCCAAAAGTCCACTGTTACTTTGGGGTACCAGAATGTTTGATCTGTGTCTACTCATTTGGCAAAAATTCCTGAGACACTCCTATCACATAAGCGAGCACACCTAAGCTGTGTCAATGACAGGGCACAGGACATCTGAGGCTTTCCAGAAAGGAGGTATCCTGTCAGTGAGTGGCTTGCTTGAGTGAAGATTGTACTTTAGGCCTCAGACTCTGGGAGGTAGAGTCAGCTGAGCAGGGGGCAAGCTCCTAGGGTGGAGGGACAGGCCCAGACAAAGGTGAGGGAACAGTAGTTGCTACTATGCGTGGGTACTTAGCACAAGCTAGGGATTTTCACGACAAACCTACATAACCTAGGAATTTATTCATTCCACAAAAAACTTATCGAGTGTCTGCTATATGTGCAAGTTCCGGGTGCTGGAAATGACATCTATAAACAAAGAAGACCAAGTCGACAGCCAAGAACAAAAAAGAAAAAAATCCCTGCCCTCAGAAACTTATGTTCTGGGAAGTGCCACCCTGATTCACAAATGAAAAACCTGAGGTACGGGGAGATTAAAGTACTACCATCAATTATGAGCATCAAGGTCCTGAGAGGCTGAGGCAAGAGGCCCCTAAGGTCAAGCCGAGCTCTAGGTATACTCTAGGTATGTAGGTTAGTATTAAGGCCCTGGGTTCAATTCCCAGTACCAAAAATAAAGAAGTAAAAAGTGAAATAAGACAAAAAGCTAGGTCTATCTGTGTTCTTTGCTGTGCTGCCTTTCAGGAAGCCTGGAATTAAAGGTTGGGATCCTTGGGTCAAGTCCAGAAGGTGGCAAGGATCTCCTACAGGTTTTAGAAAAGGGAGTGGTGGGGCTGGGGATTTAGCTCAGTGGCATAAGTGCCTGCCTTGCAAGCAGGCAGTCGTGAATTCGATCCCTGGTACCGATAAAAGACAAAAAAAAAAAAAAAAAAGATTGATACCTTGAAAAGGGAGTGGTAGAAACAAAATGATTTCCTTTTCCGGGCTGTCTTTCCCCATTCTCTTCCCTCCTCTTTTGCTGCCTCTACAACCCTAAACCTCTCCCTCCATCCCTTCTTCCCCTTTTGGGTGGATTAGCCTCAGAGTGCTCTGGGCTGAGCTTCTGGCAGCACCTGACACCCCCTTCCTAACCTACCAACTCCCATTAACTAAGCCTTTGTCTTCAGGCCTGGACTTGTAAGCTCTGGCCCTCTAGGCTCCAGCTCCACTGCTAGACGGTAAAAGCGACGGTGGAACGCGATGGCGCTACAAGTCTGAGTGGGAATCACAGCTATGCATTAAGTGGGCCTTTGCCTTCACTCGTTGCCTGCGATGGAGGTGGAAAAATTGATTTGAAATTGAAACAGGAGTGCTAGGGTTCTGAGCCAGTCCGGAACCCCGACGTGGAGAAGGAAACCCCCACACGGGTCCTAGAACCCAGAAGTCCAGCCTTTCCCTGGGGCAGAAGGTGGGCAGACAGTGCTGACCGGGAAAAAGAAACTGGTGAGTTAGAGGAGGGGGTAGTCAAGAAATGGGGAATGCAGAGAGCGGGGAGCAGGACGGGAAACGCAGAAAGGAAGCAGCACCTAACCAAAGCAGCAAGCACGGAGTGCAGGTAATGAGAGGATAAAAGATAGGGCGAGATGGGAAATGCCCGAGAAAGGCAGAGACAGACAGCTCTCGGGGCTGCAGGGCGGGTGCGACGGGAGCAAGCGCGGAGAGACCCAGCAGCCGGGCGGCGCGGGCCGGAGCGCTCGGGAGCGGGGAGCCCGGCAGGGCCACAGCTGTCAGCGGGAACAAAGGCCGCGCTGCGCCGGGGACAAGGCAGCCCGCAGCGCCGGCCAATCAGCGGCGCCGGCGCTGGCCCCGCCTCCGCCCCGCCCCGCCCCGCCCCGCCCAGCCAGCGGCTGGGACCCGCGAGGAGGCCGGCGCGCAGCGAACCGGCGGGCTGCGGGTTGCGGGCGGCTGCGGACCGCGGGGAGGCGGAAAGTTTCTCCGCCCGCCTCATCCAGCGAGTCAGCGTCGGCGAGCTACGGGCCCAGCCCGGCCCAGCGCCTCTGCAAAACGAGAGGACCGCACAGCAAAATACACTGAAAAAAAAGAATCCCAAGCCAGCGCCGGGGGCAGGTAAGGTGCGGCGGCCGAGGTCCGCGCACTCCGGGACCGCGTCCGCCCCGCTCGGGCAGAGCTGCGCCCGCGCCGCCGTTTTGTGCGTGCGTCCGCGCGTCCGTCCGTCTTTGTCTGTCCGGGTCTGTGTCTGTCTGGGTGTCTTTGTCTCTGAGCGTGGCTGTCAGGGTCTAACCCTCTGCTGCTACCGTGGGTGCTTCTGATCTGGCCCCAACCCGGAGGAGAGGCTGGTGCGTCCGTCTGTCTGTGTCAGTCTGTCTTTGTCTCGTCTCTAGCAGTCAGGGTTTATCCACTTCCAGCCCCTAACCTGATCTCCAGGACCTCAGCGCTGGTGACAGTGGTATCGGAGGTGAGGAATTGTAGGGGGCGGCGAGTGAGGCCCAGGAGGCCCAGGCCCCGGGAGAGAGCTGGGTCGGACAGTTGGGGACCGGCCACTGAACTTCATCGCCTGGAACTTTGGAGATGGGCTGGGACCGCGCGGGTGACTTGGACCCGGTTAGAGGCTTGGCAAGCTTCCCTGAAGGAGTAAGTCACATGGAGATGAGGTCGACAGAAAGGAAGAAGATGAGCCAGAATATCTTAAGGGACCTCCTGGAGCTGTGAGTCTCCGGGGTCAGTCCTGGATGGAACTCAGGAACTTTCCTTCACCCGCACAGGCAGTCAGGCCCCCCGCCCCTCCCCAGTCCGCCTGCTACTGGCTTAACTCCCAGCCGCACAACTGAGCAGCAACAGGCACTGAAGCTTCAAGGGCCAGGGATGTTTCTCTTTCCTGCTCCAAGTGGAGAGGCTTGAACGGTGGAGCATGAGTGCCCTGCTCGCCCACGAGTGCCGGGCCCTGGGAAAGTGTGGCAAGACTGATGGCTTCAGACTTCCCAGTTTCCCAGGATTAAGGGATGCATAGAAATAGAAATCATAGCACCTACCCAGTCCTCTCTCTCTCTCTCTCTCTCTCTCTCTCTCTCTCTCTGTCTGTCTCTTTCTCTCTCTCTGTCTCTGTCTCTCTGTCTCTCTCTCTGTCTCTCTCTGTCTCAAGCTCTCTCTGTCTGTCTGTCTCTCAATCTTTCAGAGCTGGCAAGCTGGTGGTAAGGCACTGAGTTCTGGATGTCAGGTTGCTCTAGATAAGGACCACCCTCCGCTGAAAGTGCAGCCTAGTCTCACAGGAGCCCAGCCAGTGATGAGCTGCCCAGCTTGGCAATCCTCGCTATGCTCTGAGAAAGAGCTGGAGAGGGTTTGTAACCTGAGCTTCCTCTAAGTTCAAAAACAATTTTCTGCAGGCACGTGGAGGGAAAATGGAGGTGTTTGAAGGATGTGTGCATAAGAGTATTAGAGCTAGCATTTACAGATGAGAAGAGTTTGTGTTTGAAGCTGGAGAAGTCTGTGGGCAGGAATCTGGGGGCAGAGCATGCACACTAATCAGGCGTGGCCCTACAACTTGTATTTATCTGGCACCTTTCTTCTGAGCTGGTTCTGTGCATCTTAGATGTTATCTCATTTGTTATCTCCTTTGTCCTCACAACATAACTTCTAGGTTGGCATGAGCCACATTTACTTTGTGTGTCTTCAGTGAAGAAGCCAAGACAGCAGAAAGGAAGGGTGTTCCCAGAGGTCCCAGAGCTAATGGGAGTTCCAGAAAGAGGGCTCAGCTGAGGACACAGGAGTGTGACGTGCTTATCCTGCTGGAGGTGAGGGAGGAAAAAGAAAAAAAAAAACTTTAGGAAAAGAAGAAAGGGAGCCTGGAGGGCTGCAAGGGGAGACCAGACATCTGCTCTTGAACAGGCTGGTTAGTAGGCACTGCCTGTCTGTGTGGCTTAGTTGATGTTGGCAGGGCTGCTCTCAAAGGAGGGTGCTGGGTGGCTGTGTTGCTAGAGAGTACCAGTGCTTTGCAGGTGGATGATGGCAAGATTTACCTATTGTCAAGAAGCCAAGGGTCTACACATGTGGATGACGAGACAGACAGGCTCCAGCCAGATAAAAATGGCCTTCTTAACCCTGAGAACTTAGCAATATTCTTCTGTGCTTATTCCACATTCATCTAATACATTCTCATTGGTGTCTACCAAGTGCAAGGCTCTGGGCTAAGCCGAGAGGCTACCGAGATGACTAAGGTGATGACAAAGAACCTGTGGTTAAGCAGCTTATACACTAGCATGATGGATAATATTGTAATGAGATTTAATTCTATCCAGTAAGTACACTGAGTGCCTAGTACTTTATTCATTATCTCCTTTAATTTTCACTGCAGCCCACAGGCCATGTATGATTATCAAAAGAGATTTAAATAACAGCCTGAATGATAGAGGGGCAGGGAATTGAACTCAGGGCATAGGACTTCAGATCCTGGCTTCTTCCAGATTCCTCTGCTACCTCTAAACATAGAAACACATTCCTCCTCCTGGTTAGAATGTTCTTGCCCAGCTCCTTCACCTTCTCCCTAAGCAGTTCCCATATGCACTTTTGATTTTAACCTTGGAGATCAACTCCATGCTTTCTCCACCGTTTCCTTGGTAGGATTCAGGCACCTTCCTCTGAGTTTCTGCTACCATTCTGCCCTGTTACTGGCTTCCCACAAACTATGGTTCCTAGAGGTGAGATGATGCCATGAATTTCCAGCTTAGAATATAGCATCTGGCTACCTGAGCAGGCCCTGTGTGATGGGAAAGAAGAGGGCTTGCTCCGGTCCCTTGAGGGACAGCACTGTTTCCGGTGTAACTTCTGTCTAGGCCACTTTACCTACTGGTGTGGCCCCTCACTTCCTGCCCTCCATCCTAGGCCCTCTGCTTGGACACGGCTGCTTTGGCCCCAGCCCTGCTCCCTACAGGTTTGGAGCCTGAGGGAACCTAGCCCCCACCCTCCCTCTCCAGTGCACCCCACCCACAAGTAGAGTTATGGAAGGGGAAGGTGCTAGACGTGATTTATACTTGGGGTTTTTAATTGTGCACTTAGAACCTCAGGGGCAGATGGTTCCAGGGCAGTGATGAGGTGTTTCTGGGGTTTTGCCAACAAAGAAGTGTCCAACTGCTTGGAGGAATCTAGGCAATTTACATCTTTGTTTTTTGAGGTTGCTTTTGAATGGATCTTTGTGCTCTCCTGCTGGACACTCAGCAAGTAATCTGGCTAGGAGTCCTCCCTCCCAGGCCACACACTCACTTGGTGGCTCACTTCCCTTGTCTGTTCATTTTCCTTACTTGTAGTGGCTACAGGTGCTCTCAGTGGTCCACGATGATTGTGGTTTTCCTTTCAGAGAGCATTATTCAAGTGTGGAAAACTCTGCATTTCACTATTGATTAAAGGTCTTCTCCAAATGAGGTGTCAGGGAGATGGATGATTTTTACACAAAGCTGAATAACACTTTGAGGCTAAAATTTGTGATACTAATTGGAGAAGAAGAATCGCCATGCATGCCTCAGGGACAAGTCTCTTGTCCCACTAACTAGATAAGGAGGCTGCCCAGCAAGGGAGGCGGTGGATTGGTTGTGTACTGAACCTGGAAGTGGAGCCTGAGGAGAGCAGAGAGTGGGTGGAGCAACCCCAGGTCCAGGCTCCAAACATGCAGGAGAGCTGAGGGGATGGGCCTTTCTCTTCCAAGGGGAACCCTAGGGAGTGTCTGTCACTTCCCTTCACAAGAGCCAGTGAATGACAAGTGGGAGGTAACTTGCTTGTCACCACTGTGCTGCCCAGCCCAGCCCTGCCCAGCCTTGTACAGATTGCTCCATAAGAGCGCCTCCTCCCTGGGGAGTTCAGGAGTGGGCAGAGACAGGGTAGCTAAGCTCATACATGGCCAGACTGGGCTTGCAGGGTGTTTGCCAAAGCCACTTCTGTGTTGCTGCCTGGAATATTGCATGTGGCTTGTGTGTATGTATGTGTGTGTGTGTGTGTGTGTGTGTGTGTGGTACAGGCATCTGAACCCAAGGAATTTCACACTAACTTACATTTCCTAGCATTTTTTTGTCTTTTGTATTTTTTAATTTTGAGAAACAGTCACTAAGTCACTGAATTGTCAGACTGGTCTCAAACTGGTGATCTTCTTGCTTCAACCTTGCAGACAGAGTGCTGGGATCATAGGCGTGCACCACCAGTCGGGTAGAATAATATTTTTAATGGCCCTTTTCATTTGCATAGCACTTTGCACATTAAAAAGGACATATCGATATTAATATCTCACAGCGACTATGAGAAGACAGCTTAGCATTCAGCAGATGAAGAAATCCATCAGAGGTGAAGGTGTTCGTCACGATTGTCACAGGAACACTGAGACTTAAAATACAGCCATCCTGATACCCAATCACATTGTGTCCATGAAGCTTTACTGATTTTTTTTCTTTTGGGGGGAGGTGATGATGCCAGAGATTGAACCCAGATATTTACATGTGCTAAGAATGTGCCCTACTGCTAGCTACATCTCCTGCTCTGGGCCTTATTAATTAAACAGGCTTGTGTTCACTGAGTAGCTAATGTTCAAAAGGGTTTGTTTGGTTTTTTAACTTATAAGAACTCAGTTACTTTCATAATTATTGTAATTTAAGCTTATGAGACATGAGAAATGACATTCTTCACTTTTTCTGTGCCTCTTTCACCCCTAAGCATTTTATATACTAAGTGACAGGTCAAACTGGTATGTGACCAAGATGTAATATGGTTTGTGTCTGGTGTGGGGCCCTCTGATGATCACTAATAGGTTTGCCTCTGTATCGGTTAATCACCATGGGAGAAGATCACTGCTGCCAGAGCATGCCTGTGCACACACACACACATATACACACACATACACACACACCCCATAGTTCATTCATCCACTGTCATTGTCTCTCCCTCTCTCTGAGTTGTGCTTCCCTGTGACACCCAGCCCTGCATCATGTATCACATCTTCAGAGACTCTCAAGGTCTCAGGACCTGGCAGAGCCATACCTCTGTCCACCTGGCTGATCTCCCTATGACAGCATGATCATGGCATGGTCGGGCATCCCCCTCCCCAGCACCACAGAACCTCAGTGTCTCCCATGTCCAGAGAAGTCTGGAGCAGCCAGGAGCTCTCAGAGCTGCAGATCCTCCTAACAAGCCACCAGAAGGACTAGTCCAGGTGGGACCCAAGCCACAGGCATATAAGAAAGTGGCCACTTAACAGTTCTCAGAAGTGGAGCTGAGTTCTGGGGTGGGAGTGGCCTTTGCTCTCAGACCCTGCCCCATCCCTATGCATGCATGTGACCTTGCAAACTTCCAGGTGGTTGAGGCAACCCCTGCTGAAGGCAGGACTGTGCACTTGGCTCACTGGCCTTCCAACTTCAGGGGCCTCTTCATGCCCCTCGCTGCTGCAAAGCCATTTGCTACTAAATCACCCTCCTCCTGGCACCCTGGACTGCTAAATTGGTCTCAACTTGCTGTACTTCCACCCACCACCTTAGTCATTATTCGCTGGCAGCATTCAGAGAGTGGGTGTAAAAGCAGCTGAACATTATATTCCTGCTGTAAAGAGAGAGAATTGAGTATAGACATGCAAGGAGCAGGGAGAGGGATGGAGGTGAAGAGAGAGTGAAGGAGCCAGAGAGACAAGGCTTGGGGCTTTGCCAGTGCCTTTGCCAGTGACCCTAGTGAACTGGATGGTGGGGTCTATTCACCGCTGAGGGCTGCCTATACCTGACCGGAAAGGAGAGAAGCTGTGGCAGGGAAAAAGGATCCTGCCCTCCATGAATGCAAATGCTCTGCTCCTTGAATTCTACAGTATGCACTTGTCTGTCATCCCTATTGAGCGCTCGTTCACCCTCCCTCCCAGCCAGGAACGTAGGCTCCTAAAATGTATGTTGCCCCTAAAGTCAAAGTGTGTCACCCCTAAAGAGAAAGCTGGTTGTACCTCTGATGAATATCACAAGACCCTGGGTGCAGTTCCAGCTTGGCCCTTCTTGGTTAAGGCTGTTGGCTATAAGGTCCACAGTGACCTCTCCTGCTTACCTTGATTTCATTGCACTGCCCAGGGGACATTGAATTTGGAAGCCAAGCATGCAAGAAGAGAACAAATAGAGGAAACTTGCAGGGCTTCATCTGCCATAACAGGGAGGCAACTGTGGTCAGGGAAAGGGTGGCACACAGCAGACGGGTTGGAACAGTCTACTGTCCTGGCCTCCGACTGACCTCTGTCTAAGGTGGAGTACTTTTCCCATGGCACACCTGATGTCTGGGCCTGGCACTGGGGCTGGCAGGAGATGGAGAACAGAGCAGGCTGTCCTGTCAGGCTTCAGGGATAGCATCAGGCAGGGCAGGGTGACCTTGATGGAAGTTCTGTAAGCCACTGATAACATTTATTGGGTCACTCAGAAAGAGTTTGGGAGGGAAACACAGTGCCAGCTCATGCTGGCTAGGAAGCCAGTGTGCTCCCCAATCCAGGTTCCTTCCCTCCCACCCTCGACTTGAAGACAATAATGAGAAAACCCAGAGAACAGATGCCCCCACACAATAAGGTAGGCAGGGCCGAGAGGGGACCATGCTGTAAGACTGCAGGGGTGGGAGCAGAATGCCCTTGACCTCCTGCCAGTCCTTGGAGGGCAGCCCCATGCCTGGTGTCTACAGATGCCTGAGGTGTGTCACTTTCTGAGCAGCCAGGCCATAGGCAGCAACAATTCAATGGTCAAGTTGAGCTCTCAGGACAGCTCCCTTTATTTATTACAACCTTTAAACATTAGGCTACCTTGCTTCCCCCTGGAAAGACATCCCAGCAGTGCAGGAGGGAGGGAGGGAGGGTTAGACTGCTCAGGCCTTGAGGACACCCCCACCCCCCAGCTGATCAGATTCCCCCAGCCCCAACGCCTCAGTGGCGCCAGCAGACAAACCACACTGCAGCCAGGTGGGGAAAACAAGAGAAGCCCTGCGAGCCTCCCCCACCTCCACCTGCCCTGTAAGGAGAGCTAGCCACTGAAGGAGGCCAGGAAGAGGTCCCCAGCTGCCTCCAGTCCTTTCCTTGGCCGGGCCTGCAGCTGCCTCTGCTCAAAGGCTCCGCAGCCCAAGCCAGTGGGTGGCTGGTTGGGGCAGGTGTGGGCAGGATGCCTGGCTGTTCCTGAGACTAGATTTTCTCATCTGCCAGTTTTTTTCAGATTCTCTGGGCCCTCTAGCAGTACCTGCAGACATTTGTTGACTAAGAAACTTCCTCTTGATGATGAAGTTACTTGGATACAGGAGCTGGAGTCGAGAGTTCAAAGCTGCAGTTCCAAGATTTATCAGGGAACTGAAGTCTGCGTTAAAAAAATGTCAGCGTGCATAGAAACATGAACTTTGGGGTTCAAAGGTCCTTTGCAAGCAGTGCTATTCACATCACCCTCTCCTTGTCCCTCCTCTGTCTGTAAAACTTTCTTCCCCAAGTTGTTGTCTTTTCTGTCTTCACCTCTAAGGAGTCTCGGTTTGAACCCCAGAGCAGCCATTCTTGGTGCCTTGCCCTGTGCTAGACTCCAAGAAGCACAAGCACAGATGGGCCGTAAGGAGGCACAGGTCTGGTATTATAGATGAGACATAAAAAATCCTGAGACACAGGCTTAGTAGAGCCTTCGGGAAAATGTAAAGCTTGAGCATATTCCTTAGGACTGATTTTCTCACAGATGGAGTTGGAGGGGTGGCAAGGTGAAGGGGCCCAGGGAGGTGCCCTCAAGGAGGGCCTTGTCTCCAGGCTGGGTAGGGAATGCAGCGAGCATGCTGCATAGAACAGACTTCAGGCTGGGAAGACTTCTTTCTAGAAATAACCTGACTTGATAGAATGCCTTTCTATTTCCAACTGTGCATCAGCATGTCCCAGAGATGCTGTGCGGCCTGGAAATATTTGGTAACTGGGGCTTCAAAGAGTGGGAAGTTCTGCAAGGCACTGGGTCCAGGACTTATTTCAATAATAGGTTGAATGGATCATGGCTTTGTGAGAAGTCACAGCGGGCTGCGCTCTTTGCCCTCAAACAGATGAAGACAGAGAGGGGAAGGGACTTGCCCAGAGCACCTCTCTTGGTGAGTGGCAGAGCTGAGGACAGAGAGAGTCAGCGCTTCAGGGCTGCTGCCAGGGTCCCACTGGTAATTATGGACTGCGACTAAAGAGCCAGTCGACGTCATCAGCTGCTCAGTCCTTATGCGTTAGGCAGGTTTGTTCTGGGGACACGGAAAGACACCTCACTAGTGAGATGTCACCATGTTTTGTGGATTTTTCTCCCAGAGAGCTGGTCCTCCCATCTCCAGTTTCTTCTGATTTCTCTGGGTGTTGAGACGTCTCTTGCCTTCTGCTCCTCTGCTTTTTCTATCCTTCTGAGTGTTCCGAGATGTACCTGATCACGTGACAGAGAAAGCTTAGTATGCCAGTCACAGTTGCTACCAGTTGGTACTTTTCAAAAATAAGAAAACGGTGCTCTGCCTCTGTCTCATAGGCGCACAGCTTCAATGGAACCCAAACAAACCAGGGAGGTTGAGGGTGCCACTCTGCATGCCCACCCCACTCCCAGAGCAGCCACACACAGAGGGAGGGGTCCCTAGACAAGAGGGAGATACAGGTGTCCATGCTGAGCAGGGTGTCGATGCCAGGGTCCCAGAAGAGCGAGGTGCCAGAACAGTGCCACCTTGCTCCTCTGCCTGCCCAGGAGTCATCAACCCATGCATGCTGCAGGCCTCTCCAGGAGCACTGCTTGCTCATTGGACTGCAGTCTGCCTCTCACTGAGGGAACTTTAGGGGCCAGAAAGGATGTTTCTCAGTGCAAGGAAGTTCAGGAATAGACAATGGGGAAAAATGATTTTTGGAGTCAGATTTGGGAACTGTTGGTTCCTTTTGACTGTGTGATACTGGAGGGTCACTTGGCCTCTCTGAACCCTAGTTTTCTCATCTGTAAAGTGTATTGGGTCTCAGATATCATTTTTTTATTTGTTTGTGACAGGTTCTCAGTTATGCAATTCAGGCTGCCTTGGACTCAGTATGCAGCCAAGGCTGGCCTTGAATTTGCAGTAGTCCTCCTGCCTCAGTGTCCCAAGTGCTGAGATAACAGGAGTGCAATACCACACTGGCTCAGTTGGCAATTATTTTGGAAATTACAAGTGCCAATATAAGTAAAATCACATGAGGCTGAGTTGCCTCTGCAGAAGGCCGTAGCCCAGGCCCACATCTGGGCTACTGACATCTATGTCAGTTAAACTAGGTGTAGGACAGGGGCCTGGGACATCACTGAATGTCCTGTGGTGAGGACCAGATGCACAGCGGACCTCTTTTCAGATCAGCCTGTGTTGAACATGCACACAGGAGGGTCCTGGGGACCTCCAGCCAGCTGTACTTCAGAAGGACATGGGCCTCACTGACAGCCAGCACAGGGACCAACTTACAGGAGGAAAATTCTGGGCAGTGGGCAGAAGGGGTTCAGTTCCCACCTCTTTCTTCCTTTCTCTTGCCACCTGCCTCCAAGCCAAGGTCTTTCCCAGCTGGATTGCTTCCTGCATTATGTAGCACCTAAGACAGGAAAGGGAGAGACAGGAAAACAAATAAAGTGAAAGCTCTGCTCTGTGTGCTCAGCTTACTGGGACTGCCCAGATGTGAAAGGGCAGATATGAGAGCGTCTGGGCTGGCTGGGTCTCCGGTGGGAAACCCAGATGAACAGGCACCTTGGAGAGTCTCATTCTGCACTGGGGAACTGGAGAATCCTTTATTCTGCTCAGTGACACTAAACAAGATGGGGCAGCGTGGGTGGGCTTAGGAACCAAGCTGCTATAGTTGGGGACACACATTCCTATCGGGGGACACGTGTATGAATCTTCCACATGAAGAGCAGGTACCTTCTCGGAGGGATTCATGTTTATTGTCTTCCTTCTCTTATTTGGGATTGAACCCAGGGCTTTCGAATGGAGCTATATCCCCAGCCCTTTATAAACTTTCTTATTTTGATACGAATCTTATTAAGTCTTTTAAGTTGCCCAGAATGAGTTGGAACTTGCAATCCTCCTACCTCAGGCTTCCACAGTGCTGGGATTATAGGCCTGTGCCCCCATGCCTGGTTTTGCCTTCTTGTTTTCCCCCAGTGCAGGAGAGTTTTCCATTAGTGGTGTGGCTCAGAGGGTTGAGGTGACTTTTTTTGCAGGCACATAGCTGTTAGGTGTCCAGTGTGACGCTCATGTGTGTCCACATGCATACAGTGGTTGCTTCGTTCTAACACATTGGTATCTACAGAGGAGAGGGCAGTGGCTCTGCCCCCATGGACTAACTGATGCATATACCAGCTCATTTGCAGATCTAGCTGATTCTAGGACCTGCTGTGATCCAAGAGGTCTCACCACAGCTGCCCAGAAAGTAAAGGAAGCCGTTGGCACTTCCCTCTGGGCACTCTCAGCCCTGCCCCTTCAATTATGCTGTGGTGAGAACCTCCCACCTGTGGGATCCAGGCAGTTCAAAGGGCTGTCGTTGCACAGTCCTGGCCAGCTATTAAACTCCCACCAGCCCTTGCCACAAAGACTCCAAAGCTGATGAAAGATGGGGAACCTGTTAAAGAACCGGCAAGCAGCCTGGAATTAGGGCTCACTCTCATGGGTGTAAGGCGCTTTTAGGGAGAAGTAATGTGTTACACTGAGGTCTCTGTTGGAAGTGTCTCCATCCAGAGGGGCCCAAGGGAGGTGCAGCCCAGGACCAGATCTCAGAGAACCCACAGCCCTTGTCTCCAGCTAACTGTGCTCCATGGCCTGGCCGCAGAGCAGTTTAAAGACAAGGGACCAAGAAGTGGGAGAGGATCTGGTTTAATTGAAGTGTCTTCCAGGTCTTACTCTGACCTGAGTTTCCAGGGCAGTCAGGACAGACTCCAGAGACAGACAAGAGTGACAGTGTACAGCAATGATCTGCTTGACACCTTTCTCCCTGAGAAAGGCTTTCAGGAGCATAGCCTTGGGGGACAGCTTTGCTTCTGCCCTGCGTGACAGAAGGTGCTCCAGAAGGAGGAGTCTGCCTCCTGAAGGTGGCCAATGCATGTTTCTCTTACCAGAAAACCAGGGTAGTTGTGTACCAGACTCAGAATCACAACCTGCAAAGTTGAACCTGACCTTTCCTCTTCTCCTTTATGCTCCTCTCATTCATAATGAGGACTGAAGCCAGGGAGCACTGTGAAACCTTTAGATTTTGAGACAGGGTCTCCTTAACCATCGCAGGCTGGCATCACACTTGTGATCTTCCTGTGTCAGCCTTTCAAGTGTCTAGAATGATAGGTGTGCACTGTCACACCTGGCCCCGCACTACTTACTCCTTACTCACTCCTCCTGGTCCGAACCATGGCTTCCTCCACTGAGCCCTCTTCCCTCCCGGTCCACGACCCACAGGTGCTTAGGCTTCCTCAAGGAGGGTGTAGAACTGGGTACAATCCTGGAGACCGGGACAGGGGCAGGGCTGGCCCCTTGAATGCTGTGGCAGGAGAGCATTGGCCACTGGCCAACATGGTGTCAGCCAGAGACACGAGGTAAGTGCTGCTGGAGACAGCTGGAAGCTGCACCCTGAGGCTGGGCTGCTACCCATCAGAGACTCAGGGACAATGTGGAGATGGCTCCAGTCTCCCATCCCCGCCAGGAGGCAGGCTGTGTGTGTGGCAGAGGAGGGTTCTGGGGACCCCACAGTGAACCTGATAGCCTTACGCCCTGTCCTCAGGGAAATTTGCAATCCACTGTTACATCAGTGATTTTTGAGGCATTAGAGGAGCAATTTCTGCAGACAGTTGATCCTAATCTTGCAGATGCCTGTGTTTTTGATGCTTATCTTTTTTAGTCTAATCTCTAAAGGCCCCAAATAGAAATGTTCTCAAATGGAAATGTTCTCTGTTCTTTGGATTGGGAAAGACAAGAAATAGAGCCCAGGGCTCTGTGAATCTGTGAAACTGGAGAAAAATCTATCAAGACTTTGATCCCCAACAATTCCACTGTGTCCTGAGTCACCAAGTCCCATATGTTAGGGAAAAAAAAAAAAAGAAAGAAAGAAAAGAAAAGAAAAATGAATGCCACACAGTGAGTTCTAAATTATATTCTGGTTTCTTGACAAATGAGGTTTCACTGTGCTAACCAAAGCTCTGCACTGGAGAATGAGAACCACTGAGGTCCAGCTTAGGGGCAAAGAAATAGAAGCTTGGAAAGGCAGCAATCACCAGTGCCCAGGCTGTGAGGGAACTAGGGAATGGGTGACACTCATTCCCAGAGTGGAGGGTGGAGAGAAGGGCACAGAGGGCAGGGCCAGCAGTGGCCCTAGCCCCTGAAGCTATTGTGCACTGCATGTCACTGGGGGCTGCTGACCACAGCCTGGGCTCAAAGCCAGGACACTGCCATTGCTGGGGTAACACCTGTGCCTCCTCTCAGGCTGGGGCTCAGCTGGCCCAGGTCGAATGTGCCCTGTTGAGTCCCAGTGATACAGGGGAATGAAACTCCCAACCTACTATATGCCTGGTACAAGTTCGTGTTCTCTAAAATCAAAGAATGAATTTTAGGAACAACGGAGGTTAAGAGTAGAAATATTTGTTGAAAGAAAGAAAGCTTCTGTCTGGAGACAGAAGAGGTCCCCAGTGGGTTGCCAAGCTTCTGTATTTTCTAGAGATTTTTATAGAGTAAAATCATGAGGTAAGGTGGGTCTAAAATTGGGGAAAACTAAAAAAAAAAAAAATAAAAAATTAAAAAAAAAAAAAAAGATTCTTAGGGGCTGGGGATTTAGCTCAGCGGCATAAGCGCCTGCCTTGCAAGCAGGCAGTCGTGAGTTCGATCCCTGGTACCGATAAAAAGGAAAAAGACAAATAAATAAATAAATAAATAAAAATTAAAAAAAAAAATAAAATTGGGGAAAACTGGGAACTAAGGTAGATGAACATGAGGTGAGACAGAGCTATGTTTAGCTTATAAGATTAATTGTTCAGGTAAAATTGATGAAATTGGGCACAAATAGGGAAGGGAGTCCCGTAGCAGGTGACCATCCTTTATGAATGAGTGACTCTTTCTGAGGAATTGGGATGGTGACTCCTGACTTCTCAAAGTGATCCAGATTTAGTCCCTAAGGATTGTACTTAAGGGTGTGGTTGCATTTGTTTTGCCTTCTGTCCCACGATCTGGCCCACAGCAAGAGCTGTGTGTCTCCTCCAAGGTCCTCAGACATCTGGTCCTCTGCCAGTTTCTTCCAGGGCCTAGCCCTGTCTGACTGCCTGTAACCTTTCTAACTGGCTCAGCTGCCTGTAACACCAAGCCTACAAGTACAGGAGGCACTTGGAGAAGGCAGCCTCAGAGGGAGCCTGATCCCCTGCTGGATGCCATGGAACACATTGTGCAGCTCCAGCCGGGGCATCCCCTCTGGCCCCAGAGCCCCTGCCTGGTCCGTGGCAGGTGGCCATCAGTATTGTAATAATCCCAATATTGAGTTCAGTCATCCAAGTATTGTAACCCTCTTTCTAGTTTTCCTCACAATCCAAAGGTTATATTTGTAATCCCACTGAGGCGTTATTGGACAGCAAGCTAATTCCAGTCTACCACCACCAATGCAACCCACTGCGAGAGTAAAGCACCAAGACATATTCCAAGTTAACGGCAACCAAGGGGTCCTAAATCTAATCTCCTAATGTGGACAAAGGCCTTGATCCTGCACCTCTCCCAGAATTTATTATCTTGCGAAGAAGTGGGGTGGCTCAGGGATGAGTGACAGTGAGGATGGGGGTGGGGGGATTACATGGGTAACTTGAGCTGGCTGGCCAGGTGAGAGAAAGGCACCTCTGTAAATTGCAGAGATAAAGATATGCAAAAGGATCAATTCACATAATCTAATTTGGGGGGCTGGCACTTTAGTTTCTGATATGCAAACTCTTATGCCCTGGGGAGTCATAGCCTCTTTACCTTGAGGCTCCTACCCAGTTGACATTCCTGGAGCTGTCAGCTCTAACATCCTGCTGTGTTCATATCCTTTACATGGGCTATGTGAGGAAACAGGAGACTGTCAGCTTTAGAGATTATGTACCAGTACCTCACTAGCCTTATTTGCAATGCATAGAGCCAATTGAAGAGAGAAGGAAATACCATAGCCAGCTCTCTACATATCAGTATAATGAAGTATCTCCAAGTAATCAAAGTCACAGTAATTGTTTTGCATTCAAGGGGAGTCACTGGAGTTGTCTCCCACGTATCAGCTTTCCAGAGAAGCCTCCTGACAGCAGCCAGGTGCTGGTTCTTTGGGAGGTGGCAGCAGTGAGAATGCAAGTGAGCAAGTGAGTGCCTGCCTTGGGGACAAGTAGGGGACAGCTACAGCAGTCACTCAGCCAGCTCATCAGAGGCCAGCCCAGGAACAGAGAGGAGAGGGTGCTGGGAGCTGAGTTGATGCCACAGCCTCTGTCCCTGCCCTGCCTTGACCTGAAAAAGTAAGGAGCCTGCCCTGCACCCATCTCTGCCTTCTCTCTTCTCCCTCTGCACTGCCTCCTGGGAATGTGACAGAAGCCACCCAGCCATCCCTACCCCGTGGGTGGCACAAGCTCTGCCAAGCTGGGAGATGAGAGGAGCGCATGCCAGGGTACCTAAGAGTATGGCTCCAGTGGGAAGAAGTGTCAGGGCAAGCCCAGAAAAGCCACTGGAGAGCCAGGCAAGGCAGCGGTTGTGCTTCTGCCCCCGTGGAACCTACACTGAGCTGAGGGTGACCTCAAGCCCCAGTAGGAGCTAAGCCCCTGGAGACTGAGCAGCTCTTTACTGTAGGTGAGGAGCTCACAGCACAGGCTGGAATCCTGGCTCTGCGCCTGTCCCAGTGTGACACAGGGCGCGTCCTTGGTGTTCTCTCCGAGATGCCTCTCCTCAGTAGGAAAATAGGAAGAAAGAATTCTCTTAGAGTTTTATTACAAGAATTTTTAAAAAAATAAGAAATATTATGTACATACAGACTATACACAGATTTTTATTTTTCATAAAATACACAGACATGGAGGGCATATGTTTGTAATCTCAATTTTGAGACAGGGTATCACCAACATTTCCCAGAGTAGACTTGAATTTATTATCTTCCTGCCTCAGCCTCCCAGAGTGCTGGCATTACAGTCATGCATCAACCTGCCTGGCTTTTTTTTTAACCTCTTTTTACAGACTTCTTTCAATGGAGTCACAGTGTGTGCTCATTTATGAATTATTCACAATGTATATACTCCCTCCACTATGCTCATTGCTTTGTAATGTTTTCCGCAAAATACCCCAGCTCATTTATTTCACCATCAGTAGGAATTGAGATTTCCCAACATTTCTAATTTGGCACCTTTTCTTATACATAGTGTGAGAAACCTCTTGGCTTGGAACACCTGGATGTGCTGGGTGCACATGATTGTCCTGCATAGACCCTCCCAGCACTTCCCAGGGCTGCCCAGCCTGTCTGTCCTCCCCAAGCTGGGTGGGGTGGAATGCTCACTTCTTCTCCATCTTTGCCAACACTTGGCATGGTCAGACTCCGTGTGGCCATTCCAGTGCTTATCTAAGCATATTTATTCATGATTTCAGTTTCCATCTTCTTAATGCCTAATCATGCTGAGAACCTTTTTAGACCTTTTTAAGCCGTTGCTTATGAAGTGCCTGTTTGGATGTTTCACTCATTTTTAATTTGATGTCTTTTATTGGAGATTTATGGGTTCTTTTTTATACTATGACATAAGGTTTTTGTCTGGTGTGTGTATATAAATCTCTCCCCCTACTTATGAAGCTTGCCTTTTCACCCTCAGTAGAAACTTTTGATGGGAAATTCTTAATTTATCAACACTATCCCTTATTAACATTTTTCCTTTAACCTTTGTACTTTTTATATCATTGCTAAGAAGTATTACCTATTCAAAGATCAAAAAAATATCACCTTACATTCTCGTGCAGGAGATTTAGTTTTTTTCCTTTTGCATTTGTACCTACATCCCATCTGGAATTACTTAAATGTGTAATAAAAAGTAGGAGTTAGGATATATTTGCTCTAAATTGATACTAGATGACCCCACAGCAATTGTTTTCCCACTGTTTTGCACTGACCCTGTCGTAAATCAAATGACCATCTGTGTCAACTGACCATCTACATACAGATCTGTTTCTGGATTTTATTCTACCCGTTGGTCAGTCTGTTCACCTTATCTCAATAGCACTTTATACTTACTTCATAATAAGTCCTTGACATCTGGTAACCAATACCTTTAGTGTCTGGTATGCAACCACTGTTGCTGTTTATCAGGATGAATTTGGCCCTCTGCATTTTAATGTATAAGATGTTGGGATTTTGATTGTGAATTCATTGACCCTGTAGGTCAATTTGGAAAGAATTAATATTTTACATTGTCAAGTCTTCTGATCTATGCACAAACCTGACATGTATCAGTATTCTTTAAGGTCTTTTTATTTTATCATAAGATATCTCACTGTATTCAGTGTAGAGGTCATATGTAACTCTGTGTATTTATTCCCAATCATGCACATTCTGTATATGGTATGAGTTTACAGTTTCTTTTCTTACTTATTCATAATATATGAGAGTGCAACTATTTTTTAAATGTTGGTCTTGTATCCAGAGACCTGACTGTGTCTACTATGATGATTAACTAAGATGATGGGTAAGCAGGGCTCCCTGAGCCTTACCTGTGCACAAAGGAGCAGGAGGGAAGGGGACACGCTCATTACTGAAAGAAGATTTGAGGTGGGAGGTTGATAAGAAACCCATTTCGATGGACCCGAGATAGGTTCCAAGACAGGAACAAATGCCCCTTTACAGTTTGTGAAAGCCATTGACATTCACTGTCATTGATCCTTGCTGTTTTCCTTCAGGCTCACTGTGTGTCATTTTCAGAGAAATAAAAGGGCCTCAGGAGACTCGGTCAAGGTCAGCCCTTGAGGAAGTACACATGTGGAAAGATAGCTTTTGAACACTGCCTTTAGATGCATAGCTTCCGGGAGGGGTTTTCTGAGGCTATCAGATAGTAGAGAGGGTCTCTGGGAGATAAGCCATGGGAGCAGGGCAAGGTTATCTGGAGAGAAGTGACCGTTGCTTTGAGAAATCACTGGGACTGACCTGTGTGCAGGATGGCTGGAGGCATGGAAGGCCAGTGGGACATCTGGGGAGTTGTGTTCTCAGTTCTCTGTTCTAAAGAAAATGAAATGAGTCTTTTTTTACTTTTTTTCTGCCAACTTCATAATTAAAACAAAACCAATAAACTCTACCTTGCATCCTTTGCTCTCCCCACTGAGGACAGCAGGTCACAGCTCCTGCCACATACTCTCACTCGTCTCTCAGAGGTGGCCAACTGGGTCATTGCCACCCTGTCACTTGAACCCTTTCATCTTCTTTAAGACTCCCTTTAAGTGGCTCCTGTCTTCTTTAGGAGGCTGAACTCAACAGGGAGGGTTCACTCACCAACATTCCTTTGTCTTTTTAAGGTGGGTTTGGTCACTGATCTCATCAGTACCTCTCTAAGTGTCTACACTGGAAGGAGCTGTGATGATGCTGTATGTGTGTAGATGGATACAGGAAGGCCTGAAGAACTGACACTCTGAAGGCCACACACCTGGCTAATGGCACCGCAGAACAAATCCCGGATGCCCATTGTCATTGCTTACCTATGGTCACAAAAGCGGGTACTGCGGAATCCATAGCTTGGGCCACTCGAGGTTGCCTGTCCATTTGGTCTAGATATCTGTGGGTTCTGCATCCATGGACTCAACCACTGTGGATCAAAATATTTGGGGGGAGAAGATGGTGTCTTATCACCCCTAATGCGCCCAATCTCGTCTGTACTGCCTTGTAACTTTTTTTCATCTCGCTATTCCCTAAATATAGTGCAACTACTTACATAATACTTTCATTATATTAAGTATTATAATTAAATTAGAGAATTTTTAAAATACAGAGGAAGATGTATATAGGTTAGAAATAAATATACCACTTTCTAGAGGGTCTCAAGCATGTACGAATTTTGGAAAATTCCTGGGGTCCTGGAACCTATCCTAACTGGTACCCAGGACTGTTGTGTTCAGTTGTTGTCCTGGAAGGCTTCCATGGATCCTTCCATGAATCTGGAAGGAAGTGCAGCTTCCAGATTCTCTCCTTTTTCTTCTTCCTCTGCATATGGAGCAGCCAGACTCTGGGGCAGGCAGGATGTCACAGCTGCTCAGACCAGATGTATTTTGGGAACAGCTGGGCAGTTTCTCTGTGGTCTGGAGTTGCAGCCTGCAGACCCAAGTCCTTCTTCCATGTCCCTGGCCACCCCATCTTCTCTGCAGGCTCCACACTCTAGCTTTGCTGATGGAAGGTGCCTGTCAGCAGGAGTCATGCGATCATCTAGAATGGGCTCTGTGTCTCCTCTCAGTATCCAGGGAAGAATTGAAGCAGAAGAGATGTCGACTGGGAAAGGCTCTCTGTGTGAACTGTGGAAACCCCCATCTTCTCTAGGCTTCTGGATACACCTTAGTCTTTTCAGAGCGCTATTAAAATACACTATCAACTGGGGAGCTTATAGACAACAGAAACGTATGACTCATAGTCCTGAAGGCTGAGAGATCTAAGATGAAGGTGCTGACAGTGTCAGGGCCCAAATCTGGTTCATCAATGGTGTCTTCTTGTTGCGTTGCTCCCATGGTGGAGAGACAAAGATTTCCTCTCTCAACAGTTCACATTCTTGAACGCTCTGCCCAAAGGCCCTAATCACATTGGTGGTCAGTTTTCAACATATTAATCTTGGGTGGGCTTAAATAGGCAGCAGTAGCAAGCTACACCCCTTCTTCCCCTCACACAAGTCCAAGAGTCTGGGCAGCTGAGAGACAGCTCACCTTTCACCTCTGAGACCTCTGGAGAGGACCTAGCACTCGACCCCTCCCCGGAAGCCTTCCCCACACCACTCTGAACCCTGAGGGTGGGTGGGGGCTAACTGCAAGGGAAAAAAGGCCATATTCTATTTAAATTACATGGAATTTACATTTACTGAGCACCTAGTATTGTGCTAGAGGCTGTTTTAAACACTTGGCATGTGCCATCATCCCTCATCTAAACTGTAGAAAAGCACAATGGTTTTTAACAAGGGTGGCTTTTATTCCTCAGGGAGTATTTAGCATTGTATAGGAAAACAATTTTTTTTGAAATAAGGTCTCTCTGTGTAGTCCAGGATGATCTCAAACTTGGCATCCTCCTGCCCGAGGCACTGTGAAAACAGGTGTAGACTGCCACACCTGGCTGTAGAGACACTATTTAGTTAGTTAGTAGTTAGTATACAGTTTGCAGTGTGTAATGATTACATTTATTTTGGGGCATTGACACATACACATAACAGATCCTAATTGTTTCAGTGCCCTCCTCCCTCACTTCCCTCCATCTCTTGATCTCTTTCCCTTTTGCGAAAGTTCTAGCCCTTGAGATTTATTTATTTAGTGGTTCTGGGGATTGAACTCAGGACCTTCTCACTGAGCTACATGTCTAGCCCATTTTATTTTGTTCAGAAGAGGTAGAGTCCTGCTAAATCACTAAATTACCCAGTGGACTTGCTATCATCCTGCCTTGGTGTCCTGGAGTGCGGGAATCACAGGCATGCGCCACCACACCTGGATTTCCAGAGACATTTTTAAATGTCACAACTACTATAGCAGGAAAAGGAGGGGCACAGGTGTGTGTCACCAGCCTCTAGTGTTTAGAGACCAGGGATACTGCGATATCCTATACATGTGATAACTCCTTACAGCCTAGAGTTGTAGTCATGCACTGTTATGTCGGGGATATACTCAGAAAATGTGTCTGCGAAGGTAATTCATCCATTTGTGCTCACAGAGTATGCTTGCATCAGCTGATAATTACAGGTCACTCCGTGCGACCTCTTGGTACAGTCATCAAACATGAACATAAGACCGCAAGACATAGGAGGCTGCTGCTAGTGTAACACAGAATACTGTTATACAGCAAAATGTTTTTTTTGTAAGCAAGCGTGTACTCTAAAATACTGATAAAAGGTTAGTACAATAAATGCATAAATCCATCAGTCTCATGGTCAAGTATTCTGTACTGCATAGTTGTATGTGCTGTGCTTTCATACAACTGGTAATAATAGGTTCATTTCCATCAGTGACACTGTAAACACATCAGTAATGTGTTACACATGGCATCGTTAAGGTTAGGACATCAATAGGCAAATAAGAATTTTTCAGCTCCATTAGAATTTATATGGGACCACTATTGTATATGTGGCCAAAACATTGGGGTTTTTTATTGTGGCACTGGGAATTAAAACCAGGGCGTTGAAAATGAGCTAGATTCCCAACTCTTTTCTGAGTTGTTATGTTGAGACTTGCAGTCTTCCTGCTCAGCCTCCCAGAGTGTTGGAGCTACAGGCCTGCACCACTATCCCTTAGTTCTGTGGCTGAGGGGAACTAGCCGTAGTTATCTGCTACACTCAAGCACAATTTACAAATGCACAAATTAAAACCAGTTGGGAGCAGTTCAGTGGCCTTCCCCAGGTGCTATCAGTGCAGGTTCACTTATAATATGCCACTTTGGGAGCAAGTGCTCTCTAGGCCGGCAGACATCTCATTGCAGCTGCTGGCCCAGGAAGCCCTCTGCAGGTCCCAGGAACAGCTGCTAAGGCACAGACCCTCCCCACCAGTGCTCTGATTGGTTAGCAGTGCCAGGAGCATTGCTAAGAAGTCTGCAGGTATCAAGGGGCAGTAGGAAAACAGACTAACTTCCACAGTGCTTTTCTCTCTTAGTTCCTGTTTCACAGTCTTTTTGCTCTGCCCCTCTGGTGACTTGCTTCATACTCCTAACAGCCATCTTCTCAACTATCACCTTTTAACATTGCCGATCAGACACTATACCTGTTGAATTGCTCAGACAGAACGCCTGTTCTTCTGCCATTGCAAGCCCCCAGCTCCCAAGCAATGATTTGAGAAAATATATAAGCAAGGCATGAGCTGGAGACCGAAGCAGCAGGGCTGGCTGGTTGGAGCAGGAATCAGGGAAGAGAAGGCAGATGTCTGGAGGAACTTACCACAGAGCCATCTTCCGGAGAGCTTAGAATGCCAGGCTAAAGTCAGGGTGCAGCTCCAGATGCACTGGTTCTGGAAAGCCTGGGAAGGGCAGCATGGTCTTGACACTGACAGTGCTTTGCAGAATGGAGTTGCCAGAATCGCCAGGCTCCTCCCCTCGTCTGCTGCAGCCACCATTCTCCACTCTCCCACTCTGCCAGGGGTTCTTGAAATAACATTAGTGCAATAGACTCTCCAGGCATCAGAGAGGCGGGCTGTTCTCTTGCAGGTGGTGCTGCCCTTTCTTTCAAACATTCTCATTGCTAATGCAACTTGGGGTCTGAACACGTGTGCACGTGCCCTGGCAGAAGTGGCAAGGGGGAGAATTCTCCCCATGAATGTCAATGAATGGGCAAGAACAATGAGGTACAGTGAATGCCCCAGTTGTAAGGAAGCCTTTCACAAGGCCTGAATGGCAATGGAGCTCCCCAGGAAGGGTGCCAGTGGGGAGACTATGCGCATCCAGAAATCCAGAGGATACAGGGCTGCAGGAGGAGCTAAAGTCTCTCCAATTAGCAGGATGACTGGGCAGAGGACACAGAGGAGAGTGTCCCTCACTGTGAAATGCTCCAAGGTCAGGGCCAGTTCTTCCAAAGAAAGGCTGCAAATAGGAGGGAAATCCAAGCAGTATTTTCCCTGAATAAACTTGGGGATGTGGGCAAGGTGTTCTAAGGAAATCCTGGCCTGGGCAGATGATCTAAGGGCTCTTTCTCTGTATCAGTGTCACTTCCACTTCTCGGGACTGGCACTGAGTTACAGAAAGGAAACTCAGGGGTATGAGGTCACTTTTATAATTTTCCTGCCTTTTTTTATTTTTCTAATAGCCTCCCACTAAAATTTCTTCTAATCTTTCTGGGCCTTCCTGGCTCCTCTCCCTCCCTCTCTGGACAGTTTAGCTGGGTATATTGAGACAGATAAACCAAGGTTCATCTTCAAGAAACCCAAGAGGGAAACAGGTAAATAAAAAACAAACCTACATGAGAAACAGGATATGGTCAGTGCTGTGAAAGTCTCAGGGGTCTTTTGAGAAACATCACATAAAGAACACATGATGTTTCCTCAAGCAAGCAGTATTTGACCTGAGGTGGGAGATTTGGAGGCTAGAGGCTGGGACCAAAGGAGCAAGTGGAGGACGTTCTCAGTTGAGCCCACAGCCTGCGCAAAATGGTGAGGGTGTCGGATACTAAGTGGTACAGGGAAGAAATAGTGACAACTAGTGAAAGGAAAAGACCAAACAGCCGGGCAGAGAGTTGGGATCTCAGTTGAGGAGTGTCATGGGTGTGCTGGGAGGAATGAGAGGGAAATTAGACAACTACTCCAGAGAGAAGAGGGTGGTAGGGACCTCAAGTTGAAGTAATTGGGTCTGTTTGTAAGAAAGGAAGCTTGTAGCTGCTGCAGAGTAAAAGATGTTTGAGCAAGGAAAGATGTAAGGCAAGAAGTTCGTTCACTCATCCATCCATCCATCCATCTGTCCATCCAGTGAACAGGTACTGAGCTCTACTCATGTGCAAGGTCCTATGCTAAATGATGCAGGCTGAGCACAACAGCCTGCGGCACACACAGTTAATGGTCTATGCCTACACCCAGGCCCTGCCCGGATTCCCTCCAGTATCAGAATCTCCAGACTCTGCACTGGAGCCAGATTGGCAGTCAGCATGGACATCCCCGCTGGAAAATTTCCAGGGTGCTGACAAACCCTGTTGTTTTAGATGCTGCACTGAATTCTTGGCTCTGTGCTGATAAAAACAGAGGAAAAAAGGTGCTGTTAGGACACCTCACCACCACTCTTACTCTGGAGAATGCTGGAATATTCTAGTGCCTTGCCCTCCTTCCTCCAATTCATAGAGTAAGTGCCAGCGGAATAGTCCCCTGCTAAAAGCCAAGCTCTTAGACTCTCCTCCCACAATCCTTGGGCTGTCCTGTTAAATGCATGCCAAAGCAAGGTGTGCTGGGACATGCCTGTAATCCCAGCACTCAGGGAGGCTGAGGCAGAAGGATGACAAGTTTGAGCCCATCTCAGGCAACTTCGTAAGACTCTGTCTCAAAATGAAAAAATAAAAGAGAGCTGGACATGTGGCTCAGCATGAAGGTTTTAAGTTCAGTCCCCAGTAGTAGGGAAAAAACGCCAAGGGTGACACAGGGGGATCAGAAGTTTGTGGCCAGCCTGTACAAATTAGGAAGACCTTTGTCCCCAAATAAATAGAAAGGGCTGTGGATGTAGTTCAGTGGTACAGCATAGGCTGGGGTATAGCTCAGAGATGGATACTTGGCTAGCATTCACGAAGTCTTACGTTCAGTCCCTAGCACTGGGTAGATGGATGATGGGTGGGTGTATAAATGGATGCATGGATGGATGCATGGATGGGTGGAGAGAGTACTCAAGTCCCTGATGCCCTCATTTCTGTGGGCAACTTGATTCCTTCCACTCGTCCTGTGATGCACTCAAGTCCACACCTCCTTGCTATCCAGATCAGATCTCTGTAACCAGCAGCTGTGATACCATCTCCACATGCACATTCACATTACACCCTGCTTTGGGGTGCCCCTCACCCTTCCTCTGTCAGCCCTGAGTCTGTTTGGCTGCTCCCTCTGCTGCCACCCACTAGACCCACAGCTCTTTGCAGTTTTCTTGCCTTTCCCCTTCCCTTCTCCCTCAAAGCTCCCTGGCAGGCAGGCACCCTTTGGGATTCCCACTGCTTCCCTCTCTTCCCTCCCTCTCTTCCTGAACTCTCTCAGGCCTCTTCCTCCCATACAGATCCTCCTGCCCCACCCAGGTCTGCATGAGACTTCCAGGCAAGGCAGGGGTGTGGGTGCCCACCAAGAGATGCACAGCTCTTCCTACCCCCAATTTTATGACTCACCCACCTTCTCCATGTATATTATTCTTTGTTCCCACCCACTGTGCTCCAAACCCAAGATCACACCTCTGAGCAAGAGCCCTTTGAGACACACACATGTAACTACTGTCTCTTCGCTTTTGATCACGTTACCTCAGGAAGCCACTAGGTCAGGTCAGGGGGTCACTGAAGGCTAATTTAATTCTCTTTTCCTTAAATCCCAATTCCTCTGGCCTTGGTATGTTTTACTGAGACTTTCTTCCTTCCTGATACTGAAGTCTTACGTCCCAGGAATTTCCGCAGCCCCGGAGAATCAGGATGATGCCTGCTTTGTGCAGCCCAGATACTGCTGGGCATGGAGTACAGAAAGCTCCCACCATCAGGCTTGTGACTCCAGGGCCTCATCTGCATCCCAGCAGGTGGATCTTTCAGCCGAGGTTGCATCTCCATGTGAGGAAGGTCTCACACTTGCCTGTGGACTCCAGTACCCCTGAGCCCTGGCAAGGTGCTCAAAGGAGGGTGTCACTGAATCATAAGTGCCCAGGTAGAGAAGCCTTCCCTGTGGCAAGCTGGGACTAGCTGGTATATTTCCCACAAGGTCCCCTAGGGAAGGGGTTATGGTGTAAAGTTTGAAAGTGCCTGTTCACGGGGAAACCGTAAAACAGAAAATAATTTTTAACCATTTGTTCATCCATTGATTCAACAAACATGCTTTGAGCCCCAGCCAGGAACTAGCTCTAAGTTGGCAATACAGTGTTGGATAAAGCAAAGAGCTGCACTCCTGGTGTGATCAATGCCGTGATAGCAATGAGCAGAGAGGATGTCTCACAGACATGCAGGACATAGGACCACTTTCCAGGGGGAGCATTACTAAGGCAAACCTGGGAAGTCAGGCATTGGGAGCAGTGCAGGGAACCCAGGGAGGATCCTCAGAGAAAACGAGGCCTTGCAGAACTCTGGTCAGTGAGAATGAACTAGGTGAAGGGTGGACAGAGGGAGGGGAGGCAGTGATGTTACCTGATATGACAGCAAGCAAAGTCCGGTCCTGAAGGCCTTCCCATCTTGGTAGGAAATTTGGACTTTACTCTTTAGGCACTAGAGAATCCTTGGGAGAACCTGGAACAGAGCACATAGCGAGTCTATGAATGTGTCAAGGGAAATGAGGTAACAACAGAGGCTAAGGCAGTAGCAGTGGAGTTAGAGGCAAAGAAGTAGCAAAACAGGACTCGGAGATGGTCAGATGCAGAAAGGACAGAGCAGAAGGAGCGAGGCTGACCAGCTTGGACTGCTTATTGGATCAGGCTTCTGGCTGCCAGCTGTGCCCTTCTCTGAGACAGGAGCCCAGAGGGAACAGCGCAGTGGGGGAAGATGAGTGTGATGGTTACTCTTGGTTGTCAACTTGACTGGATGGAGAGACACCTAGAGAACTGGAAAAGCACACTTCTGGGTGTGGCTGAGAGGGTGTCTCCAGAGATACTTGGTTTGTGCAGCAGCTAACTGAAGGGGGAAGACCTCCCCAGAGTGTAGACCATGCCATTCAATCCATGGGGGGCCCGCGTGGATAAACTGTTGGATTTCCCAGCATCCCTGGAGAGCAGTTCTAACAATGGTGGAAGCCAGGCTTCTGTGAATTGAAGAGGAGTGGGAAATGAGTAGGCAGCCATGGGAATATCACCTTCTGTCTCCAGAAGTTGGCCACGAACAGGAAAGATGATGATTCCTGGAAAGAAAATTGGAGTTCAGGAGCTGGTATGCTGTGTTTGAATGGGAAGACTTATGCATGTGCTCTGGAAAGCAAAGCTTTAAGAAACAGAAGGAAGAGAACAGAATCTTCGAGCAAGCCTCTGAGAAGGATAGAGCTGAGGGATTCATACCATGCTGGAAGAATTAGCCTGATTAAGGACAGATGTTGCTCTCAGGGTGACAGAGACATCAGAGGCAGAAACACTTCAACTGCAGTTTTGTGAGTTCAGCGAATGCGGGAGGGAGTCCCTCTCAGTGACTGTCCTTTGCTCTGGGTTGTAGAGACAAAGTTGCCCACAGGGAGTACAGCAGTAGAAGTGGATAGAGGGCCCTTGGAGAATAAGGGAGGTTGGAAAGATGAGACTTGAGAAGTCCCTGTGAGCCT